ACCCGCTGCTGCTCGGTCCATTATGCGCGGCGAACGGCTTCTTTAACCTCTCCGCTATCCCCAAAAACTACTGCGTCCGATCCATGATGGGCGCATTCCCAGTCTTCATCGGATTATCAACAAAAGTATCAACACGGCAATGCATCAAAACCCTGTTTAAGCTTCAAGTGAACAAGATCCTCGAGCTTTATTAGTTACAGACTGTGGGAGAAAAATTTGGGGAATTTGTTTGATCTTAAACCCTAAAAATTAGTGAAAACAGACAAAAAAAAAAAAAGAGATGAAGCTTTTAGACCTTGTAATAAACTTGTAATAAAACAATAAATTTCATGACATAATTTGGAACTAAAGAGGGAGAATAAACTTCAAGAGGTTATTGTGTAAAAATAAATTTGAAGAGCAGCGGCTCAGCAGCCCATTGAACACCTAAATTCCCAAATACACACCAAAAGGTTCATCTACTGATACAGACCACATCAACTGTGCACACAGACCACATCAAATGTGCACCAAAAAACAAATGGAAAGGAGAACAAGAACGGTTGGGCCAATATTGACGATGAGTTCAACTAAGCACACAACAACCCTCAATACACCAAGCATAAAGCAAATGCAAACACCACATTGTCATTCAAACATTACAGCACCATTAAAGCAAAATCAAATAAACCAATTCAAGTTTAACCAATTCATAAAGATATTTTAATTTAACTCAAAATACAAATTTTAACTAAAAAACCCTAAAAATTCTGTAATTTCGGACCAAAAACCCAAAATCATGCCTAACCCTTTTCGGACCAAATACCCTAAATCGGACCAAGAATTCTGTAATTTCGGACAATGAGAGACGGAGAGTACCGTGAGGCCGACGACGTTACAGAGGCCGAGAGAGATAGCCGACGAGAGAGAGAGTACAGAGAGTACCGTGAGGCGGACGGGTTCTGAAATTTACCGCCGATGAAGATGGTGAAATTTGTCGCCGATACAGAGAGAGAGAGTACACGAGCCTCGTGCGGTTACAGTGAGAGAGATATATAGACTGTAAATTTTCTTCGATTCAACGACGAAGAGAGGGGGGAGACAGAGAAAGAAAAAAAAATCGAAGAACAATGATGCTGAGGATAATTGGATAATTTTTGTTAAATGTTAAAGGTTATGATGAAATAGTTTTGTATATGAAGGATTGTTATAGAAATAATTTAGATGTAAGGACTTAAAGATAAATAGAATTGTAAATTTATAATTTTTTTTTATTTTTTATGACATAAGGGTATTATAGGTTTTTTACAAGTACAAGGAGGTACGAGGTTGGTGCGAGGGTGATACGAGGCAAAATAGAATTTTCGTTACCTCGTACCAACCTCGTACCTTAATCTAATGGTTCATATTGATTTTAAGTCAATCTAATGGTGATATAAAGAGGGTACCTAATGTTAGGTAGGTACGAAGGGTACCTGACAATAGACGATCCCTTCTCTTATTCTATACATTTTCTATCCTTTAAGTCCGTAAGTACCTACATCTTTCATTTCTAGTCTGACATCAAGTTTGGGAGCAACAACTGTTGAATCTTTGGCATTTAGATCGGAAACAGGGGGAGAAATATGCAAAAAGATGGAAATAGAAGTTCTGATTGATTGGAGAATCAGTGGATAGTTATGAAGATTCATGCGAGTTCTTGGTTTGGTTTGATTAACTCTGATCATGTTCGTCCATAGGCTCTGATTATTTTGCTCTGATAGTTCATCTCTGAGTCTTGCCATCTTGATCTAATATTTTATTTTTTGTTTTTTTTGACATGCTATACTCTTATTTTTATTGGTCTTATGCTCTATGGTTTGATAGTTTATAGTTAGATGACCTATGTTGTTTCATCTACACTAACTGCGAGCTTGACTTGTCTTTTGCAGGTTCTATTTCAAGAAATGGGTTTTCAATCTATATGCCAAAGAGAAAGATTGTAAGAAAATATAATTTGGCATTAATTGAAAATATTATTTATTTATCAAATTTGTGTTTTTTAAACATGTATCATGGAACTAATGCTTGAAGAGAAATGGAATATTTTTAATCTTAACTTTCCATATTTTAGTGATTCTCCTATTGTGTATTTGGATTTAATTATCTTCTTTTAGTTTGTAGGTAAAGGAAATATATTAGATTCATTAAAAGATTTTATATATATTTTCTTTCCTTATTATGATATTCTCTTACTATATGTTATGGTATTTATTTACTTGTCTTCTTTTACTTGTAGGAAAAGAAAGAGCAAAGATGATAAAAGGAAGATATGCTTGTGAGATTTGAGAGCTGAAATCTTGAGGAAGAAAGCTAGAAAATCGAGCAACGAAAAAGAAAAGAAATCGGGCAAACAGATATTTCCGAAGGTTCGCATGGAAACAAGGAAAAAAAGTTTGCAAGACTGAAGAGATAGATGCGCGATCAAATCTGAAAGATTTGGACGTAATATTCGTGCATGAAGACTTACAAAGCATGGAGATTTAGTTTTCAAAAGTTGAACAGAAGATCAAGTAAATTTTAAAACTCCAGATTTTTGATGAACCTGCATACCGAATATAGTAGTATATATATTAGTTTCACAAGTTCTGGTAGAGAATGAGCTATTCCATTATTCTTTCAGAGAGCTTAGAGTTTATTCATTGAGAGCTCGTGAGTTTTTTGTTATATTTTATAGAGTGATCGGATTCCAGCATGGAGGTTCGTCGCCGGTAATTCGAGCTTTCAGTTTTGTTTTTGTTTCAGCTTGGTGCTTGGGACGAACATCTTCATACTGCTTGGAGAGATCCATACGTGCAGCGTAAGTCCACGCCATGGCAAGAAAAGTAGTTAGGTAGGTGGAGTACAAAGTAGGTTATCTTAGAAGGAGTCTATGCGTGTAAATCCTAGTTGTACTTGTTGGCCAAACACTTGCTTAATGAAAGAGTTTTGAGGGAGAGTGGGACGCTCTCTGTAAGTTCGTTTTTATTTATTCGCTTCCGCAATTTTATATGAACGTTCATTGTTTTTTATTTAAGCGTGAATTTTTGTACTCCCCCGAAATTTCAACAAGAATATTGCAATATTTTTTCTTGTGCAGTGAGAGCTGTAAGGTTTAGAGAAATTGTAAGAACATATACGTAGGCAACCATTGACAAAGCAAGCCAGATTGATTAGGCGACGTAAAAAAAATATTTTTTACAATAATGCTATTGTGGAAGGGTAAGAAGTGTAACTGGGTAAGGATGCAACACAACACTTATTTTATATATTTACTATTTTTTAAAAAAAATTTAATCGGTTCGGTTCAGTAAAATGAACCTTTATAGTTTCCAAACCGATATCGAACCCAGGGGCGGACACATGCCTCACACACACGAGGGGCACAATTTTTTTTACTTTAATAAATAATAATAATTTTTTATCTTTTAATTTAATTTCTTTTTTTAAGAATGGATAGAAGGTGGAATTACGAAAACTTTAAATATTTAAATAAATATTTGAATACAGGATAGGTCTTGTGTTAGACACTACATTATGTCGACATAGTTTTTAACAAATATACATATTTTTATTAGAAAAAGTCATAAATATGCATGTTTGTTTGAACAAGTATGGCAAATCAATCCACGGAACGATTAGACTGCCTCATATAAGACTTTGTGTTAAATACAAACACGTTGACATATTTAGTCGGAATGATTGATCTTTAACCATCATATATTTGAAATTATGATATTAATTTTAAATTATATTCTTATTATAATAATATTTTGGTACATAAAATAAACATCCAAAAGCGTAATTATGTGTATATTAAAATAAATATCCAAAAGTGTAAATATATGTACATACACAAAATATTTTTAGTAATTGCACAGGGGCATGTGCCCCTACATGCCCCTATTTAAATCCACCCCTGACAAAACTGATAACAAGTCGGTAACCGATAATTTGTCACCGTTATAAATGAGTCGGTGCGGTTCGGTCTATTTTCTCGCCTGTTCGATTCGGTTTTCGGTCAAAAAATGACAGCCCATATGTAAGTACATGTGTGTGTTGAAAATGATACTTGTTTAGAAATTTTAGGGAGTGTATTTAAGTGAGACTTTAAACTTTTCAAAAAAAAATTAAAGTGAGTGATTTTGGTGGAATTTGTGCAATTTTTAATGACTTTGGTGGGCATTTTGAGACGTCCATAGCAAAATCTCACCAATTTAATGTGATTTCTATTCAGACTTTGTCTTTGTATTTTTATTAAAAAAAAAATGTATCCATAAAGTCTTCCAATTTAAAAAGTCTTTCTACTTTGAATACCGAGTGACTTATTGACACACTTAGAAAGTTTCATTTGAACACATTGAAACTTTTAGAGATTTATAAAAGTATTTAAAAGTCTCAATTTCTAAAGACTTTTAAAATTTTTTTAAGACTTTAAAAATACTGGTGTATTTAATTTAGACTTTATCGAGACTTTAAAAAACTTATTCAATTGGGATTTTAAAAAATTTACAAAATTCAGAGGTATTTAAATTTTTTTAAAACTATGATTTGTAAGGACTTTTTAAGATTTGCTGAGATTTTTTAAGAAAAAAAAAACATATACGAAATCCCACTACAAATCGCACCTCTAGACTCGATATTTTACATGATTCCTCCAAAACCATAAAATCTTAAAAAATCTCAAATCTTAAAAAATTTCTAAATGTCACTCGAATACCCAAACCAAATACAGTAGACTTAGAAGTTTCAAAAAATTTCAATAGACTTTTTAGAAGTCTCACATCAGTCAAATAATTTTAATTGAATATACTAGAATCTGTAAAGTCTTAAATTTTTTTAATAAAAATTAATTTTTTGACATAATTATTTAGGGTGGAATAGCAAGAGTGAAAATTGACCGACTCGGGTGTGGGTCTATAAAATGACCAACAAACCACAGTAGTCACTCTATCACACTCACACCCACCAAAGCTCATCTCTAATTTCCTAATTTCCTATCAATGGCTAAACATTCGTCTCTCTTAATCCTCTTCTCTCTCATCCTCCTCTCCTCAATTTCCAACGCAAGGGACAGCCGATTCTTCGACAAAGTCACGGCCAATGCCGCCGCCCAGCAGCCTCAGGAGCCCGATTTTCTCCCTCAGAACGAAAGAGGCTACGGCCTCTACGCCGAGCCCCACCACCCAACAAACTACAACCCCGTCACCGAGGCGGCCAACCCCCAAATTGTCCAAAATTACAATAACGATCCGATCAGAAACAATGCCGGCGGCTTCGGGATGAGCGACACCAGGTATATGGATGGCGGCAAGTATTTTTACGACCTTCAATCCGATTCGTACAGCAGAAATCACCCCTACAATTCCCGGAATAATTACTACGGCAACGGCGACACCGGTTACGAGTTCAACGGTGGTACGAATTCCGATGGAGGGTACAAGGACCGATTCGAGTTTCAGGATAACAATCTGCCTTGAATTAATTTGTAATTATTGAATGACGGTTTTACTCAATCGTCATCAATTGCTCGGTAATCGGTTCCCTTAATATATATTCCAAAATGGTTTTTGTCTAATTATTTACTAATATCTAAAATAAGACAATGGTATTTGGTTGAAGGGAAATGGTTCGAATCATTCCGTTTGAGTTTGTAGTTGTTAGATTATGTAATCATCAGGAATAGTCGATCTAACGATTATACACTCCAACGAAATTATTCCGTAAGGAGACTGTAGCATCTCCTTGGTTGAAATAGTATTTATAAATCATTTGGCTTCGTCTAACATTTTAGAATTACTAAATTAACTATTTTCTTTTTGAAAATTTTGAAAAATATTGTCTCTTTCAAATGTATTAGAAATTTGGGAAAATTTAAAAGAAAATCAGTCCATGTAAATCGGATTGCACTTATATAGATTTATAAATCAGATTTTCTTTGACTAAAATTACTTAACTACAATGATTTGATCTTTAGAGAACATATAAGGTATCTCACACAATTCATTTGGATTAATATTATTATTTTTTTTTACTCTTCCATTTATTTAGATTTTGCTTGATCAAACCAATGCATATGGTTTCTTTCAATATGGTAACACAAAACTCCTCGACCGGCTGGAACTTGAGTAATCGCCTTCCTTCTCGCCGGTTGAACGTCGTGTACCTACAAAGAACTCTCACACCGGAGGGGTTTTCCGGTGAAGAGCCTCCGATTCTTAAGTCAGTGTATATTCAATCAATTCTCAAGAGTAATAGAATGATCGTGTTGTAGAAGAAAGGCTCACCCCCTTTATATAGGGGTGAGATACCTGACCTAGGGCTGCCCGGATTTGATGAGTTGTCTGCCCTAGCTGCCCGTCCGTACACACCAAACGCGTGTGTCAGAAGTAGCCGTCGCCACTATCGCTTGCACCAATCCTCTTTGGACGCGTGTCCTCCTGCACATGGGGTAGGCTGTCAGAGGTGGTTATCGCCATCCACCGCTGCGTTCTCGACACGTGTCCCCCAGCACATGGGGTAAATATTCCCCTGGAATTCTGTCAGAGGCTTCTTTCACGCGACTGTGACCAGGCCGAACAGCGTGGTGTCAAGTCCTCGAAATAATCGACCTGTTGAGGTCGAACAGAATCCTCGATCGCCTATCTGGTCGATGAATAGTTTGGTCGACAGCTTTGCTTGGTCGACTGAGTGACTGCTCGATTCCCTCGACTTCTTCAGAATATGACCTCCTCAACCGGTCCATAGACCGGTTCAGCCTATTGGGTATAATATCCCATATCATCTAGTCCCCCCCCACTCTGGTCGAGTCGGGATGACTCGATCTAAGAGTGAACTTGTGTCTATCGGCCT